CGAGCCTGCTACACTAAAGGCCAGAACTTGAGCGCATACTTCATGCTTTGCTTTATAAACAACGCCCACGCGAATATTTGAAATTCCGGATGCTTTGACAGGAAGTGAAAGGATAATTAGGAATTCTAGTGGATAAACGGAAAGGCTGCTGACCGACTGGTACGCGCTTGCGCAATGTCCGTCATTTCTGGCCATGACCTAAATTATGCCAAGAAAAGTCGGTCTTGCCGTTCGCTGTTCCCGCAAAGGTGAAGCTTAAAACTCCCTACTTCTTTTTAACCGAACGCGAGGTCTGTATAGAGAAATATCGAACCGAGGTACGCGATGTCTTTTTTGTACAGACCGAGCCCGTATGGCGAGGTTTGTACGAAAAGACCGAGCAAGCGAGGTTAATAAAAAGTTTATCATATGGCATTTATAGGCAATTTATACTACTCGAAACAAACAAGAAATGCATGATTTGAAATGCATATTAATAGCGTGGCCGGGGCGGGACATATTTGGTCGAAGAAAGCAAAAATTACCCGCAATGTATAATTATTCCTTCCTTTACACTTGAAACCATTCGCAGACATCTTATTAATAACAAATTAAATTATAATCTTCAAATTTTAATTCGTTTTGCTGTTTTGTTTTAAAAAATACATGCATTTGTTTTTACGTGCATTACGGGAAAATAATGGATCGCTGAAAGTGCTTCTCAGCCAATCACAGTCCGCCATTTCACTGGAAGTGATGCTTGCCGTATAATAAAATACGATAATCGTCAGCAAGATTCTTCACCAATTTTTCAGTTATATAGACTGACATGTGTTTCACAGAAATATATCTACCTATCATCAGGCAATATACACATGCATGGTTACTTTAAACAAAGTTATTGTAGGAATTGATAAAATTGCACTTTCCAGGCTGAGGCTTGTAATTTTCAATTTTTTTTTTTTGGGGGAGGGGGAGTATACCCTCAGACAGCTCAGGACGTTTTGTAGCAATAGGTGCAAACTTACATTACTCTCAAAATGTTTGTTCCCATTACACAGTATATATGGTTCATTATTCAAACAGCAAGCCGGTATAGATATGTGACTATGTATGGCACAGGGGTCTGCAGGTACTGTAATCTAGAGCAGAGAGGGAGAGCAGTTTTATACTGTACATCTCGAAGACATTTTTGCATGTCTCACATGCAGTAATGCATGTTCGACCTGTTCCATACAATGTTTTTTAAAACATGTTAAAACACATGTTTTAAACACATGTTTTGTTTTTTTGTGTTAAAACACACAAAAACATTTTTTTGGTTTCGGTCAATAAAACGTCCAGTATTACCAGCCCAAATTTTGCCTGATATACTTCTGTACTACGAAAACCACTCATGTGCGGTCTCCTTGCTTAAAAATAGAGGTTATAGTAATATAGATGGATCACGGCACCGCCCACAAACGTTTCCAAAGTCGCTCTCAGACATAAAGGAATTTTAATATCGCGACTAGCACGTTTGATTTTAAAATAGTATAAAGCGCTTATAGACCTATTTCTAAGTCTCTGTAGTTTGAATTTGTGAAGATTGATATTCATTCATAAAAATTCAAAGTAAAATTGCCTCAAACACTGAAACTAAACGATATTTGCTATTTCAAAATCAAACGTGCTAGTCGCAACATTGAAATTCCTTTAAAGGAGCAGTGTTACCTGGTGCGCATCTTTTCTGCGCACGCGAACTTGAAAAACTACGGCAGTAGTTTTTCAAGTTTTCCAATCCAATATGGTGGATTCTCGAGGCGGATTCACAAATTATATGCACAAATACGCATAGTATCGTACCGTAGAAGACCACGAGAGGCCGGTTGCCATTACAGTCGCTTTGCCCGCGAGGGCGGAGCGGGCTTTGTAAATCTGCTCACTCGGGCGTGACGGGCGTTAAGAACAATGAACGAACGTTAACGGAAAACGGCCTTTATGTCTGTGAAACGGTGCGGTTACGTTTATGGGTGGTGCCGTGATATATTTTTAAGCAAGGAGACGGCACATGGGTGGTTTTCGTAGTACAGTCGAATCTCTATTAAGCGGCCAGCCTCGGGGATCGGCTTTCTGGCCGCTTAATAGAGGTGGCCGCTAAATAGAGGTACGCAAATAATTGACCCTGGGCGTAGTCAATGCTTTTGAGGTGTAACGCTTTTGAGGTGTAAAGTGGCATGTGTTAATTAAAACATAACATTTAAGCTTTATTTTACAAATAAAGCAAATTGGCTCGACTTTTATATTCGGCTCTCTTGACAAGGTGTTGCGCCAAGTAAATCCTGCAGGCTGGCCGCTTAATAGAGGTAAAAATTGACATAAAACATCATTTGTGACCGCTCTTTGGGTGGCCGCGGCCGCTTAATAGAGGTAGCCACTTCATAGAGGTGGCTGTTTAATAGAGGGATAGTTTATAGTATTTGTACATGTATTACAAAAATTTCGGGACTTCGATATGTGGCCGTTTAATAGAGGGTGGCCGCTTAATAGAGGGCCGCTTAATAGAAGTTCGACTGTATGTCTATTTTTGACCGGATATACCATTATCCGGATCCGGCACTTCCCTAATTCTGAGCTTACTTTAATCAAAGTTACTCAATAATTGACCTGTCTTTGTTATAATTATTGCATTTAATGTTTATTGCATTTAATGTTTTAAACATGTTTATTCATGCTTTAAGTGTGTTCTATATCTGTGCATTGTGTAGGAAAGTATGTTGAACGTCTTCGTGGTGCTGAAAAGAAAATCGAGACATTTCCATGTCCCACATGTCGCTCAGAGTTTACTCTCAAATCAAACCAAGATGTTGCTGAACTGCCAAGCAGTTATTTCATCAAGAATATGCTGGAAATTATGGCGATTCAACAAAAAGCGAAAACATCCACCACATGTTCCCGTTGCCAAGATCCTGCCATTAATCACTGCGCATCATGCGAAATATTTATGTGTAAGAAATGTTCAGGGTTACATAATACCTGGCCTGCCAACAAAAACCATAATACATTATCCGTACAGGAACTGGGCAATCCAGAAAGTCAAGTAAAAATGAGAAGCAAGCTTTATTGTATGAAGCACAAAGATGAAGTACTCAAATATTACTGTGAAACATGTAAAGAACTTAGCTGTATAGACTGCATGGTGTTGAATCATCAAAAACAAAACCATTCGTGTGTGGCAGTGAGTGAACTCGCACAGAAGCAAAGAGAAACATTGCAATCAAGCTGTACAACACTTGATGAGAAATTAGCTGAAGCAAAGGAAGCATTAAACAACGTTTGTGAGGTGATGAAGTCTCTTGAAAGAAATGCTAAAACTGCTAAAGATCAAATCAAAGAACAAAAGGAAAATATCTTGAAGATTGTGGCAGAAAAACTTGATGAGAGAGCAAAGATGATGAATGACGACGTGGACGAGGTTTATGGTGAATTACACAGTGAACTGAGCAAACAACATGATGAAATGAAAGATTATCTGGATAAAGTCCAAGCTTCAGTGTCCTTGCCAAAAAATCTCTTAAAGAGAGGAAGTATCGAAGAAATTATCTCATCGCAGAAATTGATTGATGAGAAAATCGAGAAGTTGAGCAATCAGAAACCAGAGAATTTGGCCGCAGTGAATGATGGTAGTATTCAGTATGTACCAGACGACATTGGTAATATCAATGTTGATGGAATTGTTGATAAGTTGGGATATGTGGAAGGTATGTGCAATTTACGGTATATTACCGTCATTATATTATAGAGGTTCAGATTTGACTTCCACTACCACTAACGGACGATCACTAACGGACGATCAACTAATCAGATGTGTTTGATAGATTCAATTAACCAATCGGATATCCACTAAGACAGTGATAAGTAGTTGTAGCTGTAATAGAAGTCAAATCGAAACCTGTATAATATTATTGTCAGTACATAAATTATTTTGCTTTACAGAATAGGAATGTTAAAGATACACAAGAATTCGTTTTCACCAGGAATTTTTATTTTTTATGTCGATTTTTAGGCTGGGTCTACAGACCTTTCAAGTTTCGCGCAATTACCGTGAAATTCCCGTATTTTTGTTTGCTATCACGCATGAAATGACTTTCTTTCCGCATTTTTAAACTTAACTTGTCGAGGTTTCTTCCTGTGGGGCAATTACTCCCATTTCTTTTCATTACTTGTACAATGTTCAATGCATTCTTTTTGCCAACGCCAGTACCCAGAAGTCTTGAGAAGTCTTGAAAATGTGTGTATCAATCGCATATCAAAAGGCGACAAAAAGCTGGAAGACTCCTGAGCCTGAGGAGGGCTATTTTTGCCGTTTGAGAAGAAGCAACGCTAACATTTGATATTTTTATAGCATGAACACATAAGGTTTGTGCTTCGGAAAAGGCGGAAGAAAAACCTCTGAAATTTCCCCAGGGCGCGCCAACTATCGTGGCGCCATGTCGACACTAACCTAAGAAAATTGCCTTCCTGCATAAAAGTTTTCAAAACTTGACAGGTCTGGATCTAACTTAAAAATGGCAGGAACTGTGCAGCTAATTAAATTTAGGTATTTACTCATAATTGCCTAACAGGCTAACACTTCCTCGCTAGGAGTAAGATCGTCTGGCGTTACACAGACCAAAGTACTGTTTTAATATACTGTACATATGATCGGAGCATTAGTGTAAAAAGAAATGAAAATGAAGAAAGGGCGCTAGAGGGTGAATTGTAGCATAGCGGATTGACAATACACATTGACAAATAGTCTTATTAACTTCCCAGAGCCAAAAACTTTCTTTATACGAGTAAAATCGACGTAAATATTTGAATTTCAGCAGCGTCATTCCTGACGATGACTGCAAGTTAGTCGAAACGTAGAATAAAAATGTTAATTGTTTTAAAGCTGCCTATGGCTGTGTATAATATTAAAATGTTGTTTATTTACTCTAGTTTTATTCCTAATTTGGGGAAATCGCTTTTTATATTTTATTAAATTTAGTTGCTATTACATAACAAATATCTGAAATTACATAACAGATATCTTGTAAAGATCTTTTGTGACTTACATAAAATTCGTTGTTTACTGTAGGTTCTGTTTCTGCAATGTACAATCTTATAAAAAAGTCATCCAGTATTTTGAAAGGAGAGATTGCCTTCATCAAGCAACTACAGAAATGGTTGGGACGGAAGTGGAAATGGAATCTTTGTTACAGATCTTCCAGGGATGGTTGGAGTGCCCGAGATTTCCACAAACATTGTGACAATAAAGGACCGACAGTGGTTTTGGTGAAGGCCAATGATTGTATATTTGGAGGATACACTGACCAACACTGGGCATCTCCAAGTATGTAAGAAAATATTTATATATTAATATTTGCATAAGTTATGAGAGCTATATATTTCTCCAGCAAACTGCATGTCAACCTCGTTCCCAGGCTCTTCCCTCTTGTGGAGGAAAGATCCTGGTCGGAGCTGGTCACGTCGACTCACGTGTAACGCAGATTTTGCCTGATGAATTGATATTGATCTCAGCGAGGGGTGATAGAGGAGTCTGTTGTGTTTGGAAAATTAACTTTACGTGTTATAGTTTCGGGTGATAAAATATAATTTCCAACAAGAAATCGTGAGAGAAACTGTTCTAAATTCGTATTTATCATGACACGACTTCCTGCTACATGTATACTGAATGTCATCAATAATAAGTTTTGCGCTACATTTCATGCGAGAAGCTGGATCATATTTCACTTGCAAGGAAAGGACTCCATGCAGGCGCGCCTGCCTTGCGAAGTTGAGCACGCTTCGCTGTACTGCCTCTACGGGATCGTTTAATGATTTCCCAAACATCGCCAACTGTGTGTAAACAATACTATCCTGACTGTAAACGCTCATGAAGTTCTGCTACTACTACTACTACTACTACTACTTATCGATCGAGAATGATTACCGTATTTACTCGTTTGAGCGCCGCGGCGCTCTTTAAATTTTCAGAGCTTCCAAATGCGGCGCTCATTGGGGGGCGGCGCTCAATCGGGGGCGGCGCTCTTTAAAAAAACTTTTATTTGTGAATTATAAGAAGAACTTTCAGCAATAAAATAAACAAGAGTTTTACTGTCGTTCCAATTGAAGTGTTCCTCAAATATTGATTCAATACATTACCTCAGGCTGACCAATTCATTTCATCAAGTTCCTCGAGATATTCATACACTTCCTGTGAAAGAGCCAATTCCAAGAATTTGATAATTTCTGGTCACTTCCT